AAGCTTCTCTTGAGGGCTGAGACCGCAGACGAGCACAGCTTCTTTGGTGCCTCCGGTTCTGAGTGAAGTTTGCAGTTTCAGAGCTGTATTATGGGATGTTAGTCCATTATATCATAGTGAGGCAGAAGTTGGTGCTTTTTATAGGTAAAGTTACAGTGTATCCCAGTTTGGTCATATTGAGGAGGACAGCAGGAGACACTTCTGTGAGATTAATATGAATTTTAACTCATGGTGCACTTTATTTCAGCATTTTTACTTAAAAATAACATTTTACTCAATTTCTTGTCCTTACTGAAAATCTCCAATGGTTATGTAGTCTGTGTTTTATGAATATTACAAAAAACAGTGCTTTTTAAAGCTTTTTATGGGAAAAGCTTAAATAACTTGGTCTAAGGACATTAACCAATAGTGTTAACTTTGTCTTTGCTTTAGGCTGGTTGTTGGCATTGTTATATTAAGCATGTAGAGGTCATCTGTGAAGAATTATGAAAAGTAAAAATCTGCTAGCAGCATCAAATTTTGTTACTAGCTGTAGTTATTATTGACATACCTTTTTCTTTAATTGAGGGTTTCCCCTTGAGATTTAACTGAGTAGAAAAAAGTGAAACGCTCTTATTAATGCATAGGACATTTTCACACATAGATTTCTGTGGTTTCTAAGTGAAGTTTCAAATTTATTTATTTTTGAATCAGGATCTTACTGTATAGCCCCAGATGGCCTCTGAACTTGCTGTGTAGACCACGCTGGCCTGGAACTCACAGAGATTTGCTTGCCTCTGCTTCCAGAGTGCTGGGATTAAAGGCATGTGCCACTGAGCCCAGCCTTTAAATTATTGAAAATTAAATAAGACTAATACCTGGTGATGCTTCACTATTTTTGGCATCTTTACAGTTGTCTGTGATTTTTTTTTAAAATTAGAACTTCAGAGCCTTCTGTTTTTAGTATTGTTACTGTTACTACATTGAGATAACTGTTGACTTAAAAACAAACATTTTTTAGTTGATTCAATATGAAGAAAATAAAAAACATCTTGAATATGGAAAGGTGATGGCTGTGTATTATACAGATGTTGAAAATAGACTATACGAGATTTTGAAGAAGAAACTTTGTAAAACTGTCCAGATGCGCTTTAAGTGGCAGAGTCAGATACTGTTTTATTATTTTATTCCTGTGAAGATTCACTGGTTGTATCCCCCACACCATCAAGTAGGATAAACAGGAGCTCACAGATGGGAACTTCCATTTAATTTGGGACAGTAATTTCCTTCAGCTCAGAAAACAAAGCCTCCTTTACAACTCTGAGTTAATTTTCAAACCCTAGGGTTTCCCACATACATAGGTGTTTTTGAGTAAGCCAGAAAATGTTTTACTGTTTAGAATTCTGAAAACAGATTATCAATTGATACTGAAAGAAGAGCACTGAATGAAATGGAAATTTCTATCCTATTTTTTTTTATTATTTTTATTTTATGTATATGAGTGTATTGCCTGCATGTATGTAAGTTCATCTATGTCATGCAATACCCATGGAGGTCAGAAGAGGCTGTCGGATCCTCTGGAACTGGAATTATGGATGGTTGTTAGCCACCATTTGAGTGCTGGGAATAGAACCCAGGTCCTCTGTAAGAGCAACCAGTACTCTTAACCATTGAGTCATCTCTCCAGCCCCTCTATCCTAAATTTTAATGTGTGGTACAGAATTCCCATACAATTTACCTTCGGAGAAGACACACTCAAGTCCATACATACCTTTGATTGAAACAATATTATCATGTCTTGAAGAATAAAAATTGTATAGAGGTTGTCTTAATGGTTTTTTCTTTTTTGTTTGTATCCAATCCTCATTGCAGTCTACAGCTAGGGATATTTAGAGAAATTTACTTTTAACTTACCCATTGCAGTGGTTTTATGGCATTTACTGGGTTTTATATGTGTTACATACTGGGAAATAATTATAGCACAAACTAACAACAGAAGATTTAGATAAATTATGCATGTTGGGATTTTATAGTGAATATGTTGAATCTGATGATCAATTTAAGGAATACTGGCTTTTAAAAAAATTTTTTAAATTATTTTTATTTTATGTGTATGCATGTATTGCCTGCATGTAGGTAAGTGCACCCATGTCCTGCAATGCCTGTGGAGGACAGCAGAGGCTGTCGGATCCCCTGGAACTGGAGTTACAGACAGTTGTTAGCTGCCATGTGGGTGCTGGGATTTGAACTCGGGTCTTCTGCAAGAACAGTCAGTGTTCTTAACCGCTGAGCCATCTCTCCAGCCCCAGAGTACTGACTTCTTAATATTGTAGTTTCATCCATAAAAAAATGCTTTTCAACTTCCATAGACCTTAATTTTTCTCAGCATTAGAAATCTTTGCGTTGTTTTATATTAGGAGAAAAACATCTTTATTAAGTATGATATTAGCTAAAGGGTGCTGGTATATGCCATTTATTCATTTATTTTATTTTTTATGTGTGTGTGTGTGTGTATGTGTTGTGTGTGTGTGTGTTTATGTATGAGTGTTAGGCCTGCATGTATGTGTAAATGCACCTGTGCTATACAATACCTATGAAGGACAGAAGAGGGTATTGGATCCCCTCTGGAACTGGAGTTGTGGATGGTTGTTAGCCTCCACGTGGGTGCTGGAATTCAAACCTGAATCTTCTGCAAGAACAACCAGTGCTCTTAACTGCTGAGCCATCTCTCCAGCCCATTATGAGGAAATTTCCTTTTATTTTTAGTTTCTGTTAAACTTTTATGTGTATTAACTTTATTAAAAATAAAAAGTTGTATATGACTGAAATGTTTTAGTTGATTCAGTCTACTTCTTTTCATCTTTGTAGAAAAAATATTAACTCAAAGTAGGCAGCCTATAAAAGTTGGCCTTTTTCTATAACTGTTAATTTTGATATTGGTTTGCCACATTTGAAGAAGGAAAATGCTAACACTAAAGAACCTGCATTTATGGAATGGTTGTTGTGCACTCTTTTGTCAGGATGTCACTTCCATCGGTGCTGAGCTGTGAGGTTCTCAGTGGGGCTGTGGTTGCTTCATCCGAATCCTTGAAGCAAACTGCTCATGCAGACAGGGCCCAAGCTCAACATTAGGTAGAATTTTTTTTTTTTTTCTTTTTGAAACTTCAACATTAGGTAGAATTTTTTTTTTTTTTTTTTGTTAAAGAACCAAGTTAAGTTCTAGGATTCAGGCTATTTCAGAAAATAAACATTTCTTATATTTCTACTAACAGCTCAGTGTACTTTTGTAGTTTGGGTTAATATTTTCTTTTTCAGTAATAACCAGAGAGGCAAGAGCAGATATAAACTATTTCCCAAAAGCTAGGAAAGTTGGCATAGTTACTGTGTAACAGTGCTTATGCCCAATGACTGTGACAATTTGCAAAGCTCTTTAACTTCATTTTGGCTTTAAATAATCTTATGTGTAGACTTAAAGGTATACTATTTTCAATTTACAGTAGTATTTGTTGAAAATATTTTCTCAATTAAATTCCTTTGGTGCTTTTCTTTCTTTCTCTTTCTTTTTCTTTCTTTCTTTTTTTAGGCAGGGTTTCTTGTAGTCCCAGCTGGCCTAGAACTCACTGTGTAGACCAGGCTGGCCTCTGTCTCACTGATATCCATCTGCCTCCTGTGAACTGGGATTAAAGGCATGTACTACCATGTCAAGTCCTTTTGTACTTTTGTAAAAATTAACCTACCATGTTTATAGCAAATTCAGAAGCAGTATGTATGGTAATTTTAGCACAAAGTATAAGATGGGGGGAATGAGCCAGTTTTGGACAAGAAAATGGCAGCTGATAATAATGTGAAGAAGCGAAGAGTCCTGAGAATCTTAAATATGCTAGCATAGAGACTAATGTACTTTTCTCTTTTTCTATTAACTTTTTAAAAAATTTAAGTTTGTATAAAACAATAGTTATGACATTATATTATTGAGTTTATATTCTATTATATAAACGTAAACCATAATAATGGCACAAAAGAGAGACAAAGGGATGAAGCTGTATCAGAGAAGAATTTCATTAGAATTAGGTTGTTACTGATCTGAAGTAAATTGTGATAAATTATGATGCAGTAGTCATCTTTAGAGTCATCACTAGGACCCTTAAGAGAGCAAGCAAACAGAAATCCTATCATTGCTAAAATATAAAAGTTTTCTTTTTCTATTTTCCCCTTAACTTTTATTGTCAAACCACATAATGAAAACCATAGAACATCTCTCCTTAAGTCTAATAATTCTGATACGTGGAGAACCTAACCAGAAATATTTGAAAAGAAATGTCCCCTTGTAGACAGATGACCACTTGGCTTACCTTAATAATGTTGTAGTCCCTGTCCTGCCCCAAATTAAAGCAAAACTGTCAGAATCTGCACCTGTGGGAGAATGCACAGGTAAGTGGATGACCCACGAGGTGGTTTATGGCTTCTTCAAGATAGTAGTCATAAACCCCATGTAAAAATAACAGGAAAATATTTATTATAGTCTCTTTAGTTTTTTTGAGATAGTCTCTCACTATGTAGCCGAGGTTGGCCTAGAACTCTCTAAATAAACCAGACTTCTAATTTTCTGTGATCCTCCTGCTTCTGCCTCCCAAGTTCTGGGATTACAGGTGTGTGCCATCACACCCGACCTCATAATCGATTTAAAATAATAGACCTGAATGTCAATCTGTTCTGTTAAAAGATACCAGGTTGGGAAAATGAAACATTAATCTCATGGTTCTTGGCCAGTTTAGATGCACAGAACACTATTGGTGCTCTGTCTTGATCTTCCCTGGTCCAGAGAGAGGTGAAAAGGACTAAGTTAGTTAGTTCTTCATTGCAGGATTCTGTGAGAAGACAGCTTTAGATGTTTATATTTGAGCCTTCAGACATTGTCTCAGCATTATGAATGTAATAACCTTTTCCTCAAGATTTACAACATTTGATTATCGTTAATTGCGTGACTGTGACTCCTAAACATATTTTGTCTTCATTTTCAGGATAAGGGAAATCTTGAAGGCGTCTAGAAAATTACAAGGTGATCCAGATTCGCCAATGTCTTTTACTTTGGCCATAGTGGAGTCAGATTCTACAATAGTCTATTACAAACTTACTGATGGATTTATGCTGCCAGATCCCCAGGTCAGTTTTGTGATAACCGACCAGAAACAAAGAGAAAAGCGTGGCGTGTGACAGGGCTAAGTGATGACTGAGTCATGCATAGATCCAACTGCTACCTGCTTTTCCATATAAAGAATAAAAGTAAAAAAGGTTTTGTTTTCATACCTCAGAAAGCTGTCTGTGTCTTATGCAGAGCAACATTTTCCTGTCTATCTGAAGACATAATTTGATTCTCCTACTCTATGGAAAATTTAGTAATTTTCCAGAGTATTTTGTGAAATCATCAGTTAATTGAGTAACTGAGGTGGAATGTAAAGGTGGAAAGTTAACTTTGTTGGCATTTTGACAGTAACATTTTAATAGAGTTTTGTGAACAGTTTCTCCGCATGCCTTGTTGGCATGATTGGCATAGTTACATTAAATATCTTTCTAATTTTACTCTTAAATATATTCTCTATGAAAGGAAAGGTCCAATCTGATCTTTTTTTCTTTATGTTACAGAATATTTCTCTTAGAAGATGACATCTATGAAAGATTGGATTTGAGGCCCATCAGCCCTCTTTGCCTTTTATTTCAGAGATAGTCAGGGTTGACTTTGCTGGTTCCATACCGTGAGCATTTTTTTCAGAATGAGATGTACACAGGTTGAAGATTCTATATCTCTTGCAAATTAGAGCGGTTGCCCTAGAACTTTATCAGAGACAGTATAATTACAGTTATCTTCAGGTTTACGCCAAGGATGTGTTCAGAGGTGTGCTGCCTCTGCCCTCACCTGTAGCTGCCATCATGAGCTCATTGTTGAAAGAAGCATTTTCCTTACTCATTGTGACCAGCTTAGAATGGCAGTCATAAACCCTCTGCTGCCTGAGAGCTCCTTCTGCCTGCATTTTAATCCTCAGTAGAAGCTGACCTATTTTCCTGTTACAGTTACTTTTCTCTTTGGTTGACTTTAAATCAGAACTAAAAACATGCTCATCCAGGGTCATAAATTTACCTGTCTGGATTAATAGGTACCAGAGAATTGTTTCTTTCCAATCTTATCACCACTGTCCTTATTGTATTATAGCTAGAATATTACAAGAATATGAAGAATATTATCAGCCTTAAAATGTCTTTATTAATTAAACTCATTTATTCTGCTTGCATTAATATCCCTCAACATAGCCAAAGGAAAAATTATGTGCACAAACATTTTATAAGTGGAATTACTTTTAATAGCCCAAATTGTGAATCACTAAAAAGTTTAGGTCAGATACGTTACATGTTAGACTTTGTAGGCCATAGTGTCTCTGTCCCAGCATGACTTGTAGCATGGAAACAGCCATCCATAGCCATGTAAATAAATGGGCATGGCTGTGTGCCACTAAAACTTTATTAACAAGAGTGGGACCATCATTACCATCCCCTGGTCTAGGCAGTCAACAGATATCTATGAATGATACATTGTACAATTATTAAAAATTGGTAATGAATATTATGAAAAACACAAGAAAGTGCTAGAGTGAAAAAAATTACAAGACGCAGAGCATGTGAATGTGGCTATGGCAGTAGATAACACCAAGTTATGAGACTAGATGATCAGCAGAGCTGTGGCTATAATCGAATGGCAGGGCAGCCAAAGGATGTTTCAGTTGTTACCTGTATTACTTTTATAATAAAATGTTTTAAAATAAAAAACTCCTGAAATCTGCAGTAGTCGTCTGTCATTGCACACTAACATTAGCAACTTCTAACAGCACACATTTATGATGAGAAAGCGACGTGGGCATGGGTTAATTGGCTGCAGGGAGATTGTCAGGGTGCAGTTTCAGCTGAGGCTCAACCCGGGAAGGCTCTGCTTCCTCATTGTGTGTCTGTTAGCAGCCTTCCTCTCTGTGATGGTCTCAGTTCTTCAGGGTGTGGTGGGAGGCCGTGCTCTGCTCTTTGCCACGTGGGCCTTCCCAGCACAACTGGCTGCTTTCTTAAAAACAGCAGGAGAGACTCAGCAAGAGGGACCTTGTCATCAGTGTAATCATGTGCCTCCTGTCACTTTCCCTTTCCTTGGTTAGAAGCAAGTCACAGGTCCCACCTACACCCGTTCTCATGGCTGACTAGGAAGCAACAGTAGTAAGAATGGAAAAATGACACAAGTCAGAAATATTTCCAGGAATGCATTATTTTTGGTCTGTAGTTCGGGGCTCCTTTGGTGGTATTTGACTTCCTTTCTTCATGAGAGGTATCACAGCTTCAGATTCCCTTTGCTTCCCACTAAAGAATGTGTGTTTCTCTGACTCCAGTGGGTAATTTGAAGATCCAAGAATCTGAAAATATTCTTTATAAATTCTTAGGGCCCTTTAATTCTGACTAGAGCTTCATTTGATTGCATTTGAAAAAAAAATTTTTTTTCATTACAGTGCTAGAAAAATATCTACATTTTCGTGCAGAAATGTAAAACTTAAGAAATGTCAGATTAGTGAGTCAGGTCTAGATGTCCTGGATTTGCTTGTGAAAGATACTTTCTCAAGTCTGTGAGGCCAGCACTTGATTTCACTGTACCTTTTGGAGTATTTACTCTATTTCAGAATGTTCCCACTATCTTTGGTTAAAAGCTGTTTTGTCCAAAGCTGGCCAGATACCTGCCAATGTGAATACCTGTCCAACCCAGCTGTGCCTCTCATTTTTGTGAAAAACTAGGTAAAGTGGCTTATAATTGAGTTTACATTTGTTTCTCTTGTTAAACTATGAACTCCTTAATGACAGAACAGGAAACAATGTCTTTTCAAAGTACACTCTGAATCCCACCACTTTCCACAGTAACTGGCTCATTGAAGACTCCCAATAACTCTGGCATAGAATGCTTGCTAATTGTAGACTTGTCTGATTATACAATGGCTTACTTTCTTCCTCAAGACAAACTAAATGATCCATGTGGACACTAGAGGGCGGTGTTGGATAAACACATTTCCCAACTCTCAAGCCTGAAATTAGACTGAGATTTTCTTGAGCAGTGCTCTTGAAAATTTATTTCAATCTGTGGGAAATGGAATAAATAAAAATATAAATAAATGTTATGTGCTCATATCCCCCCCCTTTCTGGCAGGCCTCTAAAATTACACTCTGCCAGCATTAAATATGTGACTTGATTCTGGCTTTGCTCAAAATGTAGATCTCTATTTAAAAAAGCAGAAGCCTTTTGGGGGTAGGAGGTGGGTGGGTAGACATTTTTCTAGACTGGTTTCTTCAGTTCCATATGAAGTTATGCATTTCATTTTTGCTTGCAAAAACCTGATTTATTCAGTGAGTTTCAGGATCACTTATCTAGGAAGAGGCCTTAGTTGGGAGACACTATAGTGACTGATGGAAATTGTTGCTGTAATCCATTTAAACTTGCTTTCTCTCTCTCTCTCTCTCTCTCTCTCTCTCTCTCATTTGTCTGTCTCTTTTAAGGGGTGCCCTCTCTGGCTGGAAGAGACGGAAGAACTTTCTGTGGGGTTTCTCTCTGGTGGCTCTTTCCTGGTGTCTGTTGGATGTACCCTCTGCCGGAAAGACCCAGCACAACCTGAGGTCACCCAGGTCCAGGGGCTCCAGACTAACCTATTTTGCGTATTCTACCTGGGCCTCTTTAGAAAAATGTCTCTCAACACCATAGGTCTCCTGTAGAGAACATGAAGGCACTTTCAAATTCTAAGCTATGATTTGAGAAGAGTAACTGATAAGGCTCAAGTAACCTGTTTTTTTTGTTTGTTTGTTTTTTGTTTTTGTCTTTTTTTTTTTTGACTGAAACATCTTTACAGTTTTATAAGCCTGGAACCAATCGTTTCTTTCCTCCAGAGCATTTCTGTGTTGAATTCCTCTCTGAGGTCACGTTTTCCCTTGCTGCCCCAACAGGAGGCCTCTTTCCCCAGTGCTGCAAGGTGGTTCCTGCCAAAGTCTAGAGCTCTCCAGTACACAAGCTCTTTACTCATCGGCCATATTTTACCTTGGTTGTTTGCAGAATGATGTGCTATCCTCTGAGCTACTAATCACGCAGTTTCCTCTACTCTCTGGCCAAGAACTCTTCTGTTCCTTACCACTGGCCCCTTCCAGCAGTGTAATCCTCTAAAATGATCTTTGAATAAGAACTGGTTGTGCTCACTAGGGAAACAAGATAGATCACATGTCTATGGAATTTTTTTAATTATTAATTTTTTATGTGTATGGCTTGTAGGTAAGTGCACCCATGTTGTGCAATGCCCATGGAGGTCAGAAGAGGGCATTAGATCTCCTGGAACTGGAGTTACAGACAGTTGTTACCTGCCGTGTGGGTTTTGGGAATCGAACCTAGGTCCTCTGCAAGAACAGCCAGTGCTCTTAACTACTGAGCCACCTTTTCAGTCCATGTCTATGGGATTCTTATAGCCCAACTATATTGTGCTATTATTTGTTGATCTGGAAAGCTCCTTGAATTAATGAAAGCAAAATCTAAAGACTGACTTTTTGGTTTTAGGACTTCTGAGTAGCAGTGATAAGTATTTTGTTAAAGTTAATTTATTAATTCATCAGATATTAGCTGATATCTTTTTTTAAACTGCATCTTCTTTATTTTGCATACTTTTAACTTCAGAACAAAATAAAAACAAAACAAAACAAAAAAAACACAATACACAACACCCAACCCTGCTATTTAGTGAGGGAGGGAATTTTCCTGCCTTAGACAGCAACAGAGACAGGAGACTCACCACTGAGACAGCAGCAGAGGTGGGTGGGTCAGATGCTGGGGGAGCTGCTCACAGGAGGACTATACAAGGGGTCACGGGCTTCCAGGTGGGAACTCTAATCTACTTCTTCCGTGTGAGATGCATCCTCGTCATCCTCAAGTGGGGGATCTCATCAGGAACAGCAGCACTGGGCTCCTCTGCTGCCAACTCATCTTCATCAATGCCCAGGTCTAGTTTGATCATGTGATAGATGCGGTTGGAGTGGGTCTGGAGATCCTCAAGGGAGATACCTGAGGACAGCAGAGCAGTTTCGAACAGCAGCACCACCAGGTCTTTGACAGCCTTGTCATTTTTGTCGGCCTCGGCCTTCTGCCATAGGGTCTCCATAATGGGGTGGTCAGGGTTGATCTCTAGGTGTTTTTTGGCCATCATGTAGCCCATTGTAGAAATGTCTCAAAGTGCCTCTGCCTTCATGATCTGCTCCATGTTGGCTGTCCAGCCACAGGTGCTTGTCACAATGCAGCAGGATGAAGACACAAACCTATTGGAGATTGTCACCTTCTCAACCTTCTTATCCAAGATGTCCTTCTGAGCTTGTAGAGAGTCTTGAACTTAGCCTTGCTCTCCTCCATTTTCTTCTTCTCCTCCTCAGCCTCTGGAAGTTCCAGGCCCTCCTTGGTCACAGAGACCAGGCTCTTCCCATCAAACTCCTTCAGCTGCTGCATGCAGTACTCATCTATAGGCTCAGTCATATATACCACCTCAAAGTCCTGCTTCTGCACACGCTCCACAAAGGCAGAGTTGGCCACCTGCTCTTTGCTTTCACCAGTGATGTAGTAGATGGACTTCTGTGTCTCCTTCATGCGAGACATGTATTCTGACAGGGAAGTCATCTCATCTCTTGACTGAGAGGTGTGATAGCGCAGTAGCTCAGAGAGGCGTTGCCGGATGGTGGGGTATTCATGGATTCCAAGCTTTAGATTCTTAGAGAATGCCTCATAGAATTTCTTGTAGTTCTCTTTGTCTTCTGCCAGTTCAGAGAAGAGCTCAAGGCACTTCTTCATAATGTTTTTGTGGATGACTTTCAGGATTTTACTCTGATGGAGCATTTCTCAGGAGATGTTCAGGGGTAGATCCTCAGAGTCAACCACACCACGGATAAAATTCAGATATTCTGTTCCATGATGAACACACGATGGACATAGAGTTTGATGTTCTTCTTATTATTCTCAAAGAGGTCAAAGGGACGAAGAGCAATGCCCTGAATTCCAGCTGACCTTCCACAGAGAAGTGCTTGACTACAAGTGGTCTTCCCAGTCATTGGTAAGGCTCTTATAGAATTCTGGTCCAAATGGGTTTAGTCTTGTTCAGTTCTTCCTGATCAATGTATTTCTCCTTGATCTTCTTTGTTTTCTTCTTCTTATCTTTGCCACTGTCATCTTCCTCATCTGATCCCACAACTTCAATCTTGGGCTTCTCCTCATCATCCTTATCTTCCTCTTCTTTCTCACTTTTCTCTTCCTCTGCCTCATCATCACTGATCTCCTCCTGTTCCTTCTCCAAATAGAGGGTGATGGGATAGCCTATGAACTGTGAGTGCTTCTTCACCACTTTCTTGACCCTTCTCTCTTCCAAGTACTCTGTCTGGTCTTCTTTGAGGTGAAGGATCACTTTGGTGCCCCGACCAATAGGCTCACCGTGGTCTGCATGTACAGTGAAGGATCCACCCGCAGAGGACTCCCAGGCATACTGCTTATCATTGTTGTGCTTTGTGATGACAACCACTTTCTCTGCCACCAGATAGGCAGAATAGAATCCAACACCAAACTACCCAGTCATGGAGATGTCTGCACCAGCCTGGAGAGCCTCCATGAAAGCCTTAGTGCCAGACTTAGCAATGGTTCCCAAATTATTTATGAGGTCATCCTTGGTCATGCCAATGCCTGTGTCCACCAGAGTCAGGGTGTGTTCCTGAGGGTTGGGGACGATGTCAGTTTTCAGCTCTTTGCCACTGTC